CCCCATTGGGGAGTCGGCGGGGGGCCCTGCCTCAGCGATGGGAGCGAGGCCAATGTCACAGCCTGCTTTTATCACCTCTGGTCATCAGCAGCAGCGTGGGCGAGAGAGTGAGGAGGAATCCCACAGGGACAAACGCGCCGTGCTGCCGCCCTGGGGCGACTCTCCGCCAGGTCCGTGCGGAGGAAAAGGTTCTCCAGGGCCGGGACCTGGCGGTGCCGGTGCCGGCAGAGCGGCCTGGGCGTCTGGAAAGTAGGCAAGGGGCCTGCTTTTATCACCTCTGGTCATCAGCAGCAGCGTGGGCGAGAGAGTGAGGAGGAATCCCACAGGGACAAACGCGCCGTGCTGCCGCCCTGGGGCGACTCTCCGCCAGGTCCGTGCGGAGGAAAAGGTTCTCCAGGGCCGGGACCTGGCGGTGCCGGTGCCGGCAGAGCGGCCTGGGCGTCTGGAAAGTAGGCAAGGGGGTGAGCTGGTTGTGCGGGCAAGGAGTTACCCCTGTTGGGATGGCGAGTGGTTACCTGGGTTGTCTGCTCCAGTTTTGGTAGGTGATTTGTGCCCAGGGCTGCCCCTGTGTGACTTGTATAACACGAGCTGGAAGAAATGGGGTCGGGGTTTCGGTGTGACCGTGTAAAGGGCTGCCCAGTGAGGCCTGCGTACAAACAAGATACCGCGCTAACGAGACATCGGCCCCAAAACCGCTCTAAAAGAGTTAACGATCGCGGCGTGCCCCGCAGACACCAGCCAAGTTCAAAGCCTGACATCAAATGCAGAAATCTCAATCGCAGGAACTGCTCACAGCGTGAGACGAGACTTGTCTAACAAACCCCCGTGTCTCCGTGTTGAGGATGAGCAAGCAGCCATCAGCTCCTCAGCTTTCCCCTTGTCAGCTTTGCCGCCTTTCTGGCTGTCAAGAAGAAAAGACCCGTTGGACCGAGGCTCGTAGTTTCATGAGAGAAAAGGGAGGGTGTAGATGGAAGAACGATCTGTTGTTCGCTCTGTGGGTATTGAAGGTCTGGACAACAGCGCTAGTGTCTTTGCTTTTTTGATTAGAGCAACCTCATGTTATTCTGCTCTTGGATTTTTGTCTTATTCCAAAGAATATTCCTCCTGGGAAGGCAGCTGCCTTGCCTGAGTACGAATATGGTGTATACAGTCAAACCCAGCAACGGTTACCGTGAGTGTTTTACCTCCAGGAGACAGAACGTGGCCTGGTGAGCCCACACCTGGTGTTGAGGAATTGCTTGAAGATGTTCACAGAGGTTATGGGTAGAAGGAGCCATAAATCCCAACCTTTTATTATCCTGCAGTTTCTTTATCCTCTGATTTCATCTGCTTTGAGAGCAGCGGCAGGGTGTCACTAGAGCCATTCTTTTAGAAAAGCATGGCGTGGAGTCAGAGTGGGCAAAAAACATCCCTCAGATGCGTTTTCACCATGTTTCTCTTGACAGCTCTCCGCTTCCCAGCTGGGCTGGCAGCATGTGAAATACTCGCATCTGGCTGCAGCCGGTGGCTGCTCTTACTGGAGCTCCGTGGGAGAAGGATCTGCGGGCAGCGTTTCCAACCCGGCACGCGTGGGAAAGCGTTCCCTGCGTCGGGTGGTGAATGAGCGTCTCACGAGCTCGGCAGCTGCCGGTGGAGATAGGGGAACTAATTTCGCTCCCGCCCAAGCTGGGATGCGTTTTGCAAGGAGATATTTAGGTCAGTCTCACACTGTAACGAACGTTCACCATGTGATCTTCTTCCTCTTCGCCTTTATTAATGAAGCGAGCGTTTCGTGGGACTTGCTGCCAGCGTAAGCGCTGTTCCTCCCGAAGGAATTAGATTTCGGGGAAAAGATGGCTTATTGCTAAACTTCAGCTTTTTTTTTTTTTTAATGAAAGCTCTTAGGGCTGTGCTTTAAAAAGGAGCCTGTAAAGAAGGAAAATAGTGCAAGTGTTTGCGAAGAGAAAAGCTTTGCTCCAGCCTTGAGGTTGTCCCCGTCCAGGCGGGAGCCACTGGAGGGGGAAGTCTCGGGCAGAGGCGCCGTTGCTGTGGAGGTCGGAGCGGTGGCACTTCTCCTCTCCGTGGGCCGAGGTGGCAGGAGGTATTTACTCACCGTTTCTCCCCACAGCGTGTAGCGATTTGGTGGCAATTAAAACCTGGAAGGGGCGGGGGCTGTCCGGGGCCCTGATGTGTTTAAGACCACGGCGTCACGGCTCTCTGTGGTGGCATCTGGCGTCCTGCTTCCTTCCAAGTCGTGCTCAAGGAGCCACGACAGGGCAGCCCGGCGTCCTCACCAGCCCTCCGGTCCCCAGGCGAACACCTCGCCGACCGGAGCCGCTTTCCATGAGGCTGGAAGAGGTGGTGACTTTAGCACCGGGTTTCTGCTCTGCAGGAGAGGCAGAGCTGGCTGGTGTGCAGCCACGTGGGAGCAGCAAAAAAAGTGGGATGGGAAATCTTACGGTTTGGTGAAACCTCAACGCCTCGCTCTGCACCGGCACAGGTGAATTCTATGTGCTCGTCCAGAGCAAGCACTCGAGATTATTTGCAAAGTGGCGGAATAAGCAAACTCCTTCCCGGAGTGCTGTGCCTTGGCAGGTTTGTTGGTGGGCGCGAGCGGCGAGTTGTGCAGAGTTGAGAGCTCCTGGAGCGTGCTTTATTCGTCTTGTTGCCCTAGAGTCAACGCTTTAGAATCTTGAGTGTATTTGAATAGATAAACAACAATTGTAGCCCTGCCTGCAAGAAAGAGTATCGCTCCAGCCCTGCGTGAAGTAACCCTTTCTGGATTATTTTAGTGTGCCTGGCTTGGTTACAAACCACCTTTGGAGCTGGTTATGGAACTGGGGAATTAATCTTTGAAAACCTAAAATTGGTTCAAATCCCTTAAAATGAATTCCTGGCTAATGTTTTCCTTTTGTCTTCACTGAACCAGTATTGCCTTGTTACAAGGAAATCTCCCGTTAATATACAATGGGCTTTGAAGGAGATTAAGTGCTTTACATACCAAACGTATATACTGTTGGTACTTTGACTTGTCCTTGAGGGGTTTGGGGGGGGGTTGACCTTTTAAAGCCTGGAGGACACCAGTTTCTTCCAAAGTTCTGAACCAGATCCCGGTTCCCTTCTGCATGGATTAGATTTAAAAACACACCGTGATGAAAGAGTTACATCATGCCCTTAAAAGAAACTTCAGATGCCCTGTAAAGGGTGCGGCATAGGTGTAATAATTGTGCCTGGAAGGGGAGGGATGGTATGTAATTTTTACACATAAAGGAAATTCCACTCTTGTTTCCTTAGCTGGAGTTTCACAACAGGCACTGTCCTAAGCCTGGCTGCTTGCAAACATTTATGTCACATTGGTTTGCCTGGTCGGTCCACTCACCCCTTCTTCGTGTTGTTGCGACAGGAGTTTCCAAGCAGGTCCTGGGCAAAACATTCCCCTTCTGGCCCTGCAAGGTTCTTCAAAGCTGGAAGAAGGCCGAGGAAGTAAATCTGTCCCTGCCAGGAGCTGTTGGTTCGGTCGGCTCTCTTGTAGGTTTTTATTCTCCTTCTTGACAGTTTTTTTTCTTCCTCTCCTTTGCAGCCAGCGTGGCCAATCTAAACCAGTTTCCAGGCCACTGGAAGGGTTCCACCATGGGGAACTTCGACACGGACCAGAAGGCATCCTACGGTAAGGGTCACTTTGTGGCACAGCAGATTTGCTCTCATACATCGACCTTTAATTTAATTAATTCCTTCATCCTGCTAAAACCACCCCAAGGATTCGGTGTGCCCGTTTACCGCCCCGTACGCTTGATTATCATAGTGGACACAAACCCTCACGCTTTTGAGATGACCCCAGCAGGAGATTTACAGTTCCCAGGGCTCACTCAGCCTTGCTTAACTAGATGAACAAGCCTGTCTTGTGCAGACCGATCTCTCACCTGCCCGCACACACAGAGGTAGCTCTAAATCCATTATGTAAACGGGTCTGCCGGCAGAGCAGGCAGCCCTGCCAAGTATTTGGGAGGCAGGGAAAAAGGAGGAGCAATCAACTTCAGTTTACTCTGATGATGCAATAGGAAACTTGGTAAAAGAGCTGGCCTTGGTTTTAGTCCTCCTTTTACAAAGGCTGGGCGCTCGGGACACGTGCCGCTCTTCAGCTCTTAGAGCAAAATGCCACGTAGGGAGAGCAGAAGTGAGTATTGGCTCGGTTCGGGAGAAGGGGCTGTTTGCTGAAGGTGGGCAGGGGAGGAATCGGGTGGTATTACAAGTCTTAACGCGTAACCTGTGGGAATGCGCATTTGCATTGCTGGAGTAACCCTGCACACCTTCCTCACAAGTTAAATTTAGAAACTGTCCTGAAAATTCATCAAGGCTGCATTGTGCGTTCCCTGGATAGGAACAGGATTCCGCAGGACAGCAGGGTCCTCCCGGGACTAAACTTCTCGCAGACCTTCTGTTCAGCTGGGAGAGTTTGGGGTAATGCTCTCTGTAATGGTCCAAAAATAGCCACGGGTTTCTCTTGGATCTGGCACGTTCAGTCCCAGTTAATCATTACGGTAATACTGCGGGGCTGCCGTTAACATCACACAGTGTCCCGTGATGGCTTTTTTTAAATTAATCTGAATAAATAAACTGCCAGCTAGCTGGCTTCCTCTCACCATGTGGGAGAGGGAGAGTTCAGGCAAGGCAGTGTGGTCTCCTAGGGTGGATTTACAGCAGTACATATTATTGTCATTGGATTGTCTCGTAATAGCGTTAGCTGTGAGGGCAGAACATTCTCATTTTGCTCTACCTGTGGGTCTTGCCAGGTTTTTCTGTGTTTCTGGGGACCCTCACTCACTCCTTCCTTTTCTGCTTCTCTTCACCCCTCCAGAAGATGCCTCTGGGGAGCACGGGGAGGCCGTCAGCACGATTTCCAGCAGCATGAACCCACTGCAGCTACCGGACACCTCCTCGGAGGAGCCTTTTACCACCTACTTTGACAGCAAGATCCCGATTCCCGAAGATGAAACGGTGAGTGCGGCTGGGCCCTCCTCCACTCGCTCCAATAGGAAAATCCGATCGGAAAAATCTGCGAGCACTTGGTACCCGCGTGAGTCATTCCCTTGGGTGCCGGTTCCTCTTCTTGCCTAGACTGGGAAGGGTAGCCGGGCTGCTGGATGGGGACCTGGGGGAGAACAGAGCGCGGAATCTCCTGTGCCTGCTGTGGATTTAGTGATTCATCACTCAGGATTTGTCTCCTGCGAAGCTCCAAGCAGCAAGTTCTGCTAAAGAGCAGAGAAATGTCTTGTTTGTAGTCCCAGGGGAGGGGACCTTGGTTCTTTGTTCCCTTATCAAGGAAAGGGAGCAAGAGTGCTTCGCTGGCCTTTGTAACAGCATTGTCCCCTTTGCAGAGGGGGTATAGGTGCCCTCTTTGCTTTTGATTAAGCAGCAAGGCAGGATTTTTGGCTGCAGGCATGGGAGGATTCATCTCCCACCCAAGACTGTGTCCTTGGTTGTCCCAGAGTCTGGTTCTAAACTCCTTAGATTAGGACCAGAAATTGCTGGAGAGTTTAGGATTGGATTAAAGAACAGACCGATCTTACCAGCGCCACTTTCTGTTGTGGCAGTGAGGAAGTTAAAGTCAAACCCTGGCTGTCTCTTGTCATTTTTTATTCCTGATAGCCGGGGTGCTTCGTGGGGATGATACGTCCCCTGCGTTAGGAGAGGGCTCCGCTGCAGGGCTGACTCGATGTCTCGATCCTCTCTCCCCTTCAATAGCACTCGTGCTTTAGTTTCCGCAAGCTCTGGGCTTTCACGGGGCCGGGCTTTCTGATGAGCATTGCCTACCTGGATCCAGGCAACATCGAGTCGGATTTACAATCCGGGGCTGTCGCAGGATTTAAGGTCAGTGCAGAAACTCACACATTAAGCACTGTAAGTTGTGCAACCTATGTACCCAACCGGGTTTTAGGGCAGGAGTACTGATAGTGCTGTTGCTGCTGAGCTGAAAACACCCCAGAGAATGAGAAGGGGAGAGTGAGGCACTCTCATACGCCCTCTCCAGCACTGACTCCTGGCTTTTCATGCATGTGGATCCTTCCTGTGCCAGCTCCAGGCACACAAAACAGCCTCCGAATGTCAATGATGTGTATTTTAAAAGGCCTGTGATTCCTAAAGGTGCCTGTGGGGCGCAGGTGTCCTAGGGGGCCTGGACCCTTGTTCGTGGCCGTCGTTTCTTGCTGCCCCAGCGCACCCACTCCTGCCTTCGTGTCTCCCTCAGCTGCTCTGGGTCCTGATGCTGGCGACGACCATCGGGCTGCTCCTGCAGCGGCTGGCCGCGAGGCTGGGGGTGGTGACGGGGCTGCACCTCGCCGAAGTGTGCAACCGGCAGTACCAGAAGGTGGGTGACCTCCCGGTCCTCGGCGGTACGGAGAGGCTCTTTGGGCTAGTCCGGTGGGCCTGGCTCGGTGTCGTTCTCTCACCTGGGGCAGGCAGGTCTCACGGGACTCGTGAGCTGCCCGTTCAGGGCCAAATCCTCCTCAGGAGAAAGTCTTTTGGTTGCTAAAATATATTTTCGTCATCACGACTTGCTTTACTGTTCAAGAAGCTGGGGGCTTAAGTTGATTTCTTCTGTTTTGGCTCACAGCTGAAAGAAAGGCAGAAAGATGTTAATTGTAGCCCTAATGTAGCACCGGCGAAGGGCTTGTTAAGAACCTGGGCTGTTAGGAGAGCACATGGGGGACGCTTCAGGTCCCGTTGGTTTCTTCCCCGTCTTGCAAAAAGGAAAGCACAAGGAGGGAGGTGGGGTGAATGTCCTGGCATTTGCCAGTGAATTGCAGTCAGTCAGGAATAAAACCCAGGATTTCAGCTTTTGTGTTTGGGCTGCTGCCTCCCGAAGTTGAAATACTTGTGGTTCATTGAGCTTATTTAAGAGACGAGGAGAGAAATGGCCCTTTAGAACAAGACCGTTCCATGGCTGTTAAATTTCCCTGCTTAAGAAATCTTCACGGCTTGTGTAAGAAGGGGCTCTGCGTCTCGTTCAGCTGAAGATGAGTGAGGCTGTCCTTTGGGAAAGGGCTGTGGGGAAGTCGGTGATGTCCCCAGCTCAGTGCAGTTCGATGTTTCTCATCCAACTCCTGAGACTTTGTCATTGGTCTGACCATGTGAAATATCTTCCGATGCTCATTTCCAGCGCCTCGGTACACGGAAACGTCCAGTTTCGCTCTCGCAATGAGCAAAATGTATTGAGGCGAGTAATTTAAATTATATAAGTGACCCGGGAACCTCCTCCAGTGATTGCCACAGGTAACCTGGATTTCTGCTCTGGACCAGCCATAAAATGGCAATCATCAACATGTTTTTCACACCACGACCGTAGCAAGGCAGAGGAAAGAGACCATTCCTGAATGCTCCATCCCCTGTGATGCCACAACCCCGTGCTCATCTGGGAAATCAAAGGGAGAAGAAATCTTCCCTCTTTTTAATGGTTTTGGATATTTCTGTACCTCTAGGTTCCTCGGATTATCCTGTGGCTGATGGTCGAACTCGCTATCATTGGATCCGATATGCAAGAAGTCATTGGCTCGGCGATTGCTATTAACCTCCTGTCTGTGGGGAAGTAAGTTGGGTTTGTCATCAGAGGGTGGCAGGAAATGAGTGCTCCCCTCTAGGATTAAGAAAGTGACACCGTGGGTGCCAAAAAGACTCATTTATTTCCTATAAATCTTCCAAAATAAGCTCTTCGTAGAGGGTGATTCATCTAAGCTGTGCTAGCTCTTAGATGACTCAGCCTTTGGTGCCTCTTTCTTTTCTTCGGCTATAAGGAGAACTGCGGGTTCTGGCTTTTATTTTAGCTATAACTGATACACAACCAAATTGGGCTGCAGCTTTCCTGGCAAATTTTATATTCCTAATAAAGGACTACCAGAAAGATGTCCTCTTCGGCCAGGAAGGCTGGAAATGCAAACGTAAGAGGAAGCTACAATTTTGTACCGAGTAGCTATTAAAGTCGCGCTCACTGCTGTCATTCTCAGTGTGGACGTGGGACTTGCTCTCAAGATTCGGGGAGAGAGCTCTTATCTGAGCTGTTTGTGCAGAAAACAAACCTATGGTCCCTTGCCCTGTGCAGCCAAACGTCTTGTCAGACTGCAAACAAACCCTTGGACAATGCGGTTCCATCCCCAAACAAGTGCCCTAAATAAAAAGAGATTTTGGACTCTGAAGTATTGTTGTGGCTGGCGGACGAGGTCGAAGTGTTTTGTAAGCTGATGTCTGCTCTTGCCCGTCTTTCGCAGGATCCCGCTGTGGGGTGGTGTGATCATCACCATTGCTGACACGTTCGTGTTTCTCTTTCTCGACAAATATGGTAATTTCTCCTCCTGAATTCCGGAAACTAAATCCGAGATTCAGCTTTTCTCAATTTGCTGATGGTCCGTTTTCTTCTCCCAGGCTTGCGAAAACTGGAAGCGTTCTTTGGTTTTCTGATTACCATCATGGCTCTAACGTTCGGATACGAGGTACCTTCACCATCTGTCTCTGCATTTCCACCAGAGCTGTTTGGTGACACGTTCCCTCTACCCCCACCACTACTCCTGTGCCCGACCAAAACAGGGGGGCGGACACTTAAAATTAAGGATATTTGAAGCTGGGTCTGTGTTTCCAATGTGTGGCCGTCATCCGGCTCATACCCTGGCCTGCAGCGCGGGCTGTATTGAACGCTGCCTCTCTGATGTGGAGGCCGGCACGTACTGTTCAGCGCAGCATCTCCGCTTTTATTAAACAGCAGACGATTGCACATTGTGGTTTTGCTTTTTACCAAAGTGGCCACATTTTGGCTTTCGAGTATCTTCAAACAGGCAGCCTAGGCAGCTGTGCGACGCACATCACGCTACAAATACCCGTGTTTCTTTTGTCTTTCTGTCCAGTATATCACAGTAAAACCCAACCAGGAGAAGCTGCTAAAAGGGCTGTTCATCCCGTACTGCCAGAACTGCGGCACATCCCAGCTGGAGCAAGCCGTGGGAATCGTGGGTGCTGTTATCATGCCGCACAACATGTACCTGCACTCTGCCTTGGTCAAGGTAAGCGGCCGCGCTGCTTAACGTGTACAGGGATGGTGCGCTGGGAGGCCTGAAACGTTCGAGCGGTCACAGCCTCTGGGAGTCTGCTTTAAGCATTTACTTCGGTGGGGACATAGCAAACCCCCTGAGGGAGGCTGGCGGGGTCCCTGGCACAGGGAAAGCCGTGAGAGCTTCGGGACATGTGTCCTTTACATATGGATGCGGGACCAGAAGCGTGCATCTCGTGGCTAGCACTGCCACGCTGGCAAAACCAGCCCTTGCTTGTTCTGCAAATATTGGGGTTTGCTTTTTCTTCTCTCCGGCGTGTTCTCTTCCCGTCCAGTGACCCGTATCCCACTGTGTAATATGGTATAATTACAGATATAAGTAATATAATAGCGAATTCCTGTTTCTCAAGCCTGCTGTTGTCACCATCTCCTTTTCAGTCCCGGCAAGTGAACCGTGCAAACAAGAGGGAAGTACAAGAAGCTAATAAGTATTTCTTCATCGAGTCCTGCATCGCTCTCTTTGTCTCCTTCATCATTAACATCTTTGTTGTGACTGTCTTCGCTGAGGCTTTCTTTGAAAAGACGAACGCGGATGTGGTGAGTTGGGGCTGGGACTTTGCTGGGGACTTTGTTGGGGCTGTCAGAGCACTAATGGGGACCGTGTGAGCAGAGGGGCAGCTCCAAGCCTTATCGGTGCCCCTGGGTGAAGCAGAGCCCATATATTCTGTGCGTAAAGGAGGGAAAAAAGAACGGGGTTGCTGATTATTTCCATTTAAACCAGTCTGAAGAGGCACCCAGCATCCTGGGACCTCCAGCACCCGCTGCTCCTCGCGTGCAGCCTTTTCTGCTCATCCTCGCTTCTCGCTCGCTGAGCAAACCCAACCTCCTGCCCCTTCATATCGTTGCAGAACAACGTCTGCACGAACGCCAGCAGCCCGCACTCCTCGCTCTTCCCAAACAACAACCAGACGCTGGAAGTGGATATCTACAAAGGGGTGAGTGACCCGCAGGGTGGGATGGCCTCGTCTCCAGCTGCCTGGCGTCCTTGTCCGGTGGTGACTGCTTCTTTTGGGTAAACAGGGAGTGTTGAAGGTCGGGACCTGTAAAAGGATTGCCAAAAACAGAGCTGGAGGAGACCCCTGGGGATCCTTGAGCCCAGCCCTTTGACCAAGCAAAATTATCTATCCCTTTGTTAATCATGCTGCATCTAACCTGACCCCAGAGACTCCCCAGCTATCTGTTCCCCTCTTTTATTAGCTTGGCTGTGACAAAGTTTTTCCTTGCATCCATCCTGAATCTGCTTTGTTAAAACTGCAGCCCACGAGGTATCGCCTTATCTGCTGCCGACATGGGGAATGCTTTTCCCTCTCCTAGAAATGGATTATTGCTTCTCTTTCAACTCAATGCCCGTAATTAATCTGGTCACAAGGGAATTCACCTGCTCTTTCTTGTTCCCTCTCTCAGATGTGGGACTGAACTGATGTGAGACTGCAAATCTCTGTTCCAGGGCGTCGTCCTGGGGTGTTACTTCGGCCCTGCTGCTCTCTATATCTGGGCAATCGGGATCCTCGCTGCCGGCCAGAGCTCAACAATGACGGGGACGTACTCTGGGCAGTTCGTCATGGAGGTAATTAGCACTCTTAGCAGCTGCCTGCGTCCCTGTTCTCTCTACTCCCAAGCCTTTAAAGCTCATATTAATGATTCCCCTTCTGTGGACACGCAGCTTTTGCTGGAAGCTCCATAAAACTCCCTGATGTGCCTTTCAAACAAATCAGCTTTTAATCCTGCCCTGAGCCCCCCTCTTCCTGCTGCGCTTGAAGTCTCCTTACTGTTTTCACCCAGCAGCTGCTCTGGTTTTTTCTGCAGGGCTTCCTGAACCTGCGGTGGTCCCGTTTTGCCCGAGTGCTGCTGACCCGCTCCATCGCCATCACCCCCACCCTCTTCGTCGCCATCTTTCAGGACGTCGAACACCTGACTGGCATGAACGACTTCTTAAATGTTCTTATGAGCCTCCAGGTGAGCAGCAGTGCCCAGTTTGGTGGTCAGGTCTCAGAGAAAAACATCCAGCACTGAATATTTCAGCTTCTGGTGCCTAAGGGTTTGCAGGAGGAGCTGAGCAGAGCGAGTTGCTGTCAGGAGATGTTGATCTGGGGGGAGGTGGAGAGGATCAGCCAGGGTCTGAAATTGCTTCCTTCTTCCAGCGAGGGGAAGTCCCTTTGACTCACTTTACAATAGCTTTGGGGAAATGCTGTCAGATATGAGCAAGCCCTGGATGTTTGTCTGCGCTGAGATAATCAGAACAATTTCCACTCTTTATCCTTCTGTATTTTCTTGCTTATTCCAGCTTCCCTTCGCTTTGATCCCTGTCCTGACATTCACCAGCCTGCCCAGTGTCATGAATGATTTTGCCAACGGATTGTAAGTATGAAAGGAATCGCCTCCGAGCAGGAGACGGCGTGTTGCTCACCCCAGGCACACGTTTCGTTCCTCTCCTCGCCTTGTGGCCTAGAACATCTCCTCCAACGCAAGAGTGGCCCCTCCGCCTCACCCCATTTTGCTTTGATTTTGCTCGCAGGTTCTGGAAGATCGGTGGTGGCGTGCTGATCCTCCTGATCTGCAGCATTAACATGTACTTCGTGGTGGCCTACGTCATGTCCCTGAACCACGTGGCTTTGTACATCGGGGCTGCGATTCTCAGCGTGATCTACCTGTCCTTTGTGGCGTATTTGGTAAGTCTGGTTCAAGCTGAGACTCCTTGTAGGCAGGATAAGCCGATGGATTTATTTTCTCACCATTATATTAATATTGTCACGTTTTGCAAGCGTTAAAGTCGGTCACAGGGTCCGAACAGATGGGGAAGTTGAGGTTTTCATGGCCAGATTTGCTTGGGAATCTGTTCTGTGCTGTGCCTACTAACCCACATGGCCTTTCCCCTGCTTTTTTGACCATCTCTTTAGCAATTCATCTGTTCGCTGTTCCCAAAAAGGCCTCGATTCAATGTCGCAGCAGGTGAAAGGTTGGCAGAGACTTTGGAATAACGCATGGTTCCTCTGTACGTGTCTGTATAGTGCCAGAGGTGTAAAATCGTAGAATGATCATACAACCACAGAACGGTTTTGGGTTGGAAGGGACCTTAAAGATCATCTAGTTCCA